TGCAAAGACACGTTGGGGACTTCAGGATCTGCTATAAAACCAAACCATCAATACCCAGCCATCTCAGGACAAGCACCCAAAAAGACTCAACAAAGTGCCTGCAGTGACCCACAGACTCTGTCTCAGGAAACCAAGCACTGAAAGCTGGGAAAAGCGATCCCGACCCATCACACCAGGATCCCCCCCAAAGGCTGGCTTTTCTTCCAACCCCTCGCTCTTCCTCCCTGGATACTAACACATGCAGCCTACCAGTCACCAGTAAACCGTCAAGGCATCCTAAGACAGAAATACCCACAGTTGCTCACCATGGTGGAGCTCCTGGTGCAAAGCCAGAACAACTGGAGCGCAAAAGGCGAAAACAGTGAAGATGTAGGACATTCAGAAAACCCGCCTCCCCCAATCATCCTGTGTGACCCCCAGTTACTCGGTGAGCCCTGCTTCGCATTCCCTGGGTCACCATCCAGACACCCACTGGAACGGTCAAGTAGGACGACTCATCCCTCACGAAGAAACAAGCAGCACGGATGACTTAGGTTCCTGGGGAGTCCAGATGTTGGGTTTGAAGCTGACCTTGTGGTGTGATTTTTTTTCACAACACGGTCAAGAGTGAACCTAAGCTGTTACACCAACAATGAGAAGTTCTTACAGTAACAAGAAAAAATGGACAACAACAGACCATTTTCAGCCATTTTGACAGTAGTTAAAATATAGGTGTTGCCAATGATGCTAATTAAGGTCCCACTCCATTTAGTGTAGTAGAGCCTTTCCAGATAGCCAACATGGCACAGAACCTTAATTAAATCATTGGTAACACATGTGTTTACCCTACTATTTCATGTCACAACGGCCACTGTGGAAAAGGTCTATTCCATTAAAAATGATGAAGACCATGATCTAACGCTCAAGAACAGCTACTAAATGGCCCTTGATATTCCTACCAACTGAAATGCTTATTTCATGTGGGTTTCAATAAGCACGTACTTACATGCCCATTACATTCAATCTGATCATTTAAGATCAAACACTGGCACATGCAGTGAATGGAAGTCTACACAAGAAATATCTTTCAGTGTGTCGTAATCTATGAGCAACCCATTACTGAGGAGAGTGAAATATGCTTCTCAGTGTGATCTTACATCATTTAGTATCTTGCTGTGTTTGGATCGACAACTGAGGCTGTCGGATGTCAACCCACGCATTACTTTTTGTTTCCCACTTATTCTCAAGTGGCTTCCTTTCAGTTCAATGCGAGCACATTCAAAGCTTAAGTCCTTCCTCACAGCTGCCATCATTAAGGCAGAGGTTAGCAGCTCAACATCTTCGCTCCTGCTGCTTTTGTGAGACAACAACGAATTCAGGATTATGTGTGCGTACTTGTTTGCTGGGCAGATATCACCTGTCATTCCCTTGATGAGAACAACATATGGAAATGTCACTGAGCGGTTTGCGTCTGTGTGCTAATGGGTATTAATGTATAAAGTGTGCTGATTTTCTGCATTTTTGACTGAGCAGATGTATGGGATTTGTTTACTATCTCACCAAAAATTAATTATCAAATTCAGGAACAGATGGACCAGGATACTGCAGCGGCTGTGTTTGTGCACGACAAAGTGTTCAGTTGAGTCTTTCCCTTAATAAATGACAACTCAGACAATAATGAAGCATGACAACAGAATGTACTATATATAACATTTTAAAATATCAATATATATATAAAGTTAAATGAATGTAAAGTAAATAAGTAAAGCTGCATTTTAAAGTCTTTCCATCTATGTTTCAAAGTTCACTATTGACCATGGAAGTGAAATTCTCAGCACCTCCTCTTACTGGAATACTTTATGGAGCTCAGTAACACCATGTGGCCTTCAACAGTGGGTGGAGATTGTTCAGTTATCATGGAGATGGTTCAGTTGTTATCATGTGACCTCAGCTAAGCATGGAATTCCAGTCATGTTATTTCAAAACTGGTCACAGCACCAACTGGGAACATGTCAAACTCAATATTATATAATATATATTTCCATGAGTAGATCTTTTGCTAACAACTAGTTTTAATCAGACTATATTTCCTCATATACTCTCTTAATTCCTGCCACAGACCTTCAGACTATTAAAGCATTACTCTTTAAGATAAGATAAGATAAGATAAGATATTCCTTTACTGATCCCCC